AACAATTATAAACGAATACAACAATTCAAAAAGCAACAATGTCTCTAAATAGACACAACAATGCTGAATATGACAATGCCAAATACAACAATGTTAATAAACAGACAATGCCAGATGCGACAATGTCAATAAACAGACCACTAAACTGTTTATTGACATTGTTATGCTGCTCTCACGGCAACACGTCACAATATATAGAATTTAACCAAATTTTTTAATGCAAAACAGTTTTAAAATAATTGGCCCTCAGGTGGATAAAGCATAGACAGGAGGGTAGAATACTTGGTTGGGTCTGGGAGAGGGGTGATGATTATTATCTGGCAATGCCAGTTGAATTGGCTCAGAACCTGATGTGTGGTGGACTCCTGTTTTAGCAGTAATGAACTTTGAATATTTATAATATCACAGGGTGAATGCTATAATTAAATTGCATTTATGAATGCATTTGCAGTTTATGAAAACAATGTATTTTAAAGAACTGGATTTGAAGTGTCACTGTTGTACATTTCAGGTGATGGCAGACACATTTGCCAGCACTTTATGTTGTATGATGTGTGTGCCCGATGGAAAAATTGCAGGTAAGAAGACTTCTATAACACCAGTGGTGCACCAGGTCTTTGTTCAGTAGTCCAAATTACTGTGTTGCAAATATTGATCTTTGAAACTGTAAAGTAATATACCTTCAGTGATCTGAATTTATTTGAATTCAATGCTGAAATTTTCTTTCTGTATACATTTTGAAGATTGCTGTCTTCTGGGTTGTTGCGCTGTGTAGACTGGTAGATCTCCACCGTTTTAGAGGTAATGCTGCCTCCGTCATCAGGGCAATGACGGAGGCAGTATGACCTCGTGAAATGATCTACCAGACTACACAGCGCAACAACCCAGAAGACAGAAATCTTCATACTCATTGCACTGATGACGGAGGCAGCATGACCTCTGAAACGTTGATAAACATCGACCAGACTACACAGCGCAGCAACCCAGAAGACAGCAATCTTCAGATTCACCGCTGTGAAAACCTCAAATCCTACATGTATACATTTTCATTGGAGATACCAGAACTTTCAGTGCCTCTGTATGTCATTTAACTGAGTGGTCAGCATGAGCTTTTTCACATTTTCAGTTTAAGCATTGTGTAAGAAAGTATGGCCAGTCACCCATTAATGTATATAGATTGTAGGCACTGGGTGCATGCTAATGATGTATGATATAGTTTACATGGAAAACTGAATTTTCCAATATGAACAATAATAGATAACATGACAGTAGTGTGTGATGTGAAAAACTTTAAGGAATGCATAATGTCAGTGATATCATCATTCATTTATATGCAATGATTTAGTGGCCTATACATGTCATACATTATGGTGCTTATAATGTGATCTTTTAATGCACAGTAATCCAGGACTGACCCTTCTCTCTTCTTAATTAAAAGCAGGATATTTTATCTGTCTGCATGTAAGACAGGAAAGTAACATGTACAAATCAAGGCCTTTGCTGTACTGCTGCCAGTTCTTGCAGGAGAGAGATTTTGAGCAGTATATTTGAATTACTCTTTTATAATTGTTAGGTGATAAGAAATTAGGAGTGGGTGAGATTTATTTTCAGTATCATTTTCACTTGGTTGATACATTTCTGAAACTGTTGGGGTTTGCATTTAGTTAAATGACCACTGGACTGAAGTTTTTGTACCCTCAGAAGTATTTTGTTGACATCTTTCCTGCAGTACATCATATTTGTGACATTTTAAAATTTGCTCAAGGCAGGGCCTGCAGCATTTAGATTCAGTTTCATGTAGTCTTCTGGGATTGGTTGAAAGGGTTTTATTGATAGTTTCCTACAGAAATGTAATTTACTTTGTGTGAGAGAGAGTTAACCCAGTGGATTACTGTTTATGTTGTAATTATGTAGTGCTAATATATAGATATGGTTGAGGTTGAACCTCCTTTTTTAGTGGCATTTTGTTATATTTTTTGTCTTCACTGCCAGGTTATATTGGAATATCATTTTTTGATGTGGTCTTGTGATTACAAGACCATGTTTGTTACCACTATTTATAGTTAGAAATGTTTTGATTATTGAGAATAGGTTGGCATGTTGATGGCAAGGTATGTTCAGGAGGCATTGTTTTAGATGTGTTTCAAGAGTTTATACCATGATTTCTGTAATAGTGCTAGTTTCTTTCATGTTTGCATAGCACAACTTGTTATAACAAGAAAATATGTACCTTACTACACATATTTCACCAAGCTGTGGTAAAGAAAGCATGTTGAAAATTTATATTATTGGCAAAAGTAGATTCAGAATGTTGTTAAACATCAGAAATGTGCAAGAATATACTTTCAGAGTTATACTCCACATGTTAGGATTTCAGAAATTCTGATTTTGAATGTCACTTAATCTTGTCTTAGCAATTCTCTGCTGAGAGAGGTATCAGACTTCACGTCCTTCTAGTTCATCATACAGAATTAGATATGGCAATAATCATAATTAATTTCAGTTTGCCACCGCAATCTTTAAAATTAATAGACAAGGCACATAAAGAACAAACTTCATACTGTATACAGTGCAATTTCAAAACTTGGAGAAATGCTCATACTAATGGATACTTGAACACTGGAAAATGGTTGAAATACACCATCTTCCAGCCTTTCTCCTTTTTTCTCTCCTAATTATGGATATTACAATATGGCATGAAAGTTTTTGAAAAATATATTAATACAGTTACACTCCATCCTAAGTGCAGTAGTGTCTCCTTGTCAGCAATACTATTTGAAATAACATTACTCATTTCTCTTATGTATGTACATTATGAGCAGGGGGACTGCTGTGAATATTGTTCTTTTTGGTTGAACACTTACTTTGCTGTCATGTTGTATAAACCACTGTGCATATTGTTCTTTTTGGTTGAACAGTTACTTTGCTGTCATGTTGTATAAACCAAGTTGTAATGAGCCAGGCCAAAATCACTGTTATGGGGTGCAGATGTAAATAAACAACACAAGTACCTGTGCAGGTGAGCTATTAAAGGAAGAGAAATACAGACTGAAAGTATGAGACAAGAGAGTGTACTAACTACTGCCATTACTCATCAGAATACTATTGTTCATTTGACAAACCATTGGACTACAACTCATCTTTACTGGGCCAATTATGTTTTTGGAATGCAATGTGTGATGGTCTTTATGCCTATCTTTCTACAAATTCCAGCCAGTGAAGAATGACTATCACATGATGAAGGAACTGATTGTTATTTTCTCCTGTCCAGCTACATAAATTCTCTCATGATTCGCAAGTTGCCAATTTACCATATTACTCATTGTTGTGATGCCAACAACTTACTTACAGACAGTGTAACAGAAGATGCAGTGTACATGACAACCTGACAAGAGTAATCTATTGCTGGGGTAATTCCAGTTATTGTGATAATGCATATGTTTGTATCATCTGCTCAGGCAGGTGGTTAGACTTGAAATGGTTAGTGTGACAACAACATGCACTGGCAACACTGTACCTTTTAACTCATGTCATGCCAAAAATGTTTGGAACCATTTTCTTATTTCATTGTGTATTATGTCACTGGGCTAGTGAACAGGAAGTTATTTTATTTTATAGTGTTCAAAAGTGTTCAGTCCTAATAATGACATTGAAGTGGAATTGCTTAGCCTTCAACATGAAGCTTGAAGTAATGCATCAGCCTGAAGTCAAGTAGCTCGTGAATTAGAAAGATGGTATATATTTCCTCTTTTATATTATTAACCATTTTTAACAACAATGACAATACCATCAGCACTTCTTTATGAAGGAAGTTGGTTTTTCCAGTCATGATATTTAGGACCAACCCATAATACATCTTATATACAGTGTGTCCCAAAAAGTTGCATATACATTCAGTGAACAAAATAAATAATTTTAAACCATTACATATATCATCAATAGCACTTAGTGATTTAGCAATCTAGTGGAGGTGTTCAAAATGACCACAGTCCATGTCTTCCGATAACAAGGTTAATATTCCGTATTGTAATGTGTGTCAGTTTGGGGTACTGTATGTTCATAAGCTATGCATTATCAAATTATGGATGGAACTTGTGGGGGCACAGCATATGGTAGATAGGACATATGCTTGTACAGAATGTTCTGAATAATAGAGTTTATCTGACAGCAGGTGAAACCCTGGAACAGTTTGTAACAATTTATTATGTGCAATGTAACCTTTGAAATCCTTGTGGTACATATAACGCTTTGGGAAACTGCTGTTTTCAACACTTCAACAGAATTTATATAAGTGCTGAATCATACCAATTTGGGTCACATTACAGTTCTTGTTCAGTACAAGATAAAAGATGTTGGTTTGTTCTTTAATGATTCAAGTCCCACCAGCTGTTCTGTTCCCGTGTATGACGTATAGATAAAATTGTAATTGTTATTCAGACTGCCATGTTTTGACATGCCAATGGACCAATCAGTTGTGGTGTATGTAAAATCTTGAAGAATCCATTTGGAAAATGTGTATTTAGATTTGCACAGGTGAACAATTGGCACTGGCAATTCTTAAGTGAAAATCATGCAGTAGTTCACTTGTTATATGACGAGGATTTTACAGGATATTGGGGGATGGCTTGTAATGTGCGCATGTGTAGTTTGTATCAAAGATGAAGGCAGGATCGTCATTTTCTTCCAGTAATAGATGATGTGGTATGATATTTAGATGTGTTGGGATAACAATGTGCAGACAGCTTATGATGACAGGTGGTTTGCAGTTGAGCTGATAGTAATACATTACATTCCCTTAGCAGTCCACCAAGAGTTCAGATATGAAAATATTCTGACCCAGCAGCAACATTAAATCTAGTAAGCCAAAATTAAGTAGCATATTCTTTCTGGATAATCTATCCCAACTCACACTTGAAAGGTTAGTATATTTTATCACAAATCTGCCTAATAAAAGCAGTTTATTTAGACAGCCTTTCCTGGTATAGAATTTGAAATACCACTGGCATCATAAAGTGTTTTTATAAATAATTATCCATATGCATGAAGCTTTACTATTGTTACATTGTTCTTACCATTGTAAACAAATAGATATTTTTATATAGAGATTCTATTTCTATATTTTAGAGAAAGGCAAGGGATCTTGTCATTGGGGTATGGGTTTATGTGAACAAATAAAATATTCATCAGTACTGTTCTTGTTCATTTACTTTCTACCATATAGCAGTTCTGATCAAGGCATAGTAGACTGACAAAAGAAGCATGGCTTATGATATGCTACTGGGTCGCAGAGTATATTATGGACACCCATGTTGTTGAAAGCTGTAATAACTATTATAAGGTAGTTTTACAAAAAATAAATATAATACTGGTCTCATGTATAAAGTACAGAAATAAAAAGTTTGGTCAGAAAACCTGAAGGTAAGAATGAGATCAAGTATAGGATTAGGTTCACCTGGCTTAGAATATGGACCAGTGGCCAGCTCTTATACACACAGTAACAAATCACTAGGTTACATCAAATGCAAAGGATTTCTGGGCTAGTTCAACAATCATTACCTTCTGAAGGACTGCTCCATCGAGTTAAACAGAAGATTGAGAACCTTAGTAGTCTAAATTCAAGACAAGTTCCCCATAAACAATTATATTAGGATGCAGGCCATTAGACATGAGACAAAGTATGAAGATAGTGATGGGAAACAACTTGTGAGATGAAACTGAGATCCTATCATCCTGTAACTACAGAGTATGGTCACCACATAATTCAGAATTCAGTCTTCACCACTTGCATCAATATTGTATCAAAGTTCCCTTCTCAGAGGCTGAGCAAGGCCAGAAAGGTCAAGAAAGCAAAGTTGATTGGGGGATAGAGAGGCAAGTATAAAGATCAGCATATTTTTTCAAAATGAACAGTACTGACCAATGTGCATTCACCTCAACCCTTTAGTTTCCAATGGCAATGTAATAGTCACAAACTACACTTACAGTATAATCTTAACACATCAGCATGTAGTTGCATGCAGAAAATAACTCCTAATTTGTGCTTCTCCCTCATGAATAGTCTTCGAGATGAAGGTCCAGACTTTCATCTGGTATATGTATCAACTGGATTTGATTTTCTGTTCAGTAAACAATTATGGAAATTTGTCAAATTTAAATCTATTAGTAGACATGGCAGAGTCTGACATCTGAATTGTCTGCCCTACAAACTAAGATGTCTGAAGAAATATAATACCATTTATTTCTAACAGAGGGTAAGAAATGGATAGTGACAGATATATGATTATTTTTAAAGCCAACATAATTTTACATACCGCCAATTAAATCACCAATTGAAATTACTCTCACGTCAGGTAACGGCCTGGGATTTATATGCATGTCTCACAACAGTGTTCATTTAATATTTTGTTGGCAAGAATCTGGTGTTTTCGTATTTTTAAACAAAGGTATATGCAGGATACTACATGTGAGGGAAAATTACATAATGAATGAAATAATGTGATCAAAGATACATTTATATGTATTCTAAAGTGTCTGGAAATCACTGCTTTAAAAATTGAAATGAGTACAACACACAACAGAATGTGATTATCGGCCAACTGCCAACAGTTGCAGAAGTTTCTTTTGGGCATGGCAGAAATCTTAAAAGATTTTCCTTTTATTCAGATTGCGCCATGTTAAGAAATATCTGTGTATACAAACTGAAGCCTAATTTAACATCTTTCAGATGATTAACTATATAGGAAACACCAATTATATCATTCAACATACAACAGTAGAGACATTTTGGCATTTGTAAGTGCACTCCTACTGCCATAAAATGTGGGGGAACTTCTTGACTAGCTCAGTGACTTAGCTGTTGAATGAAGACTGCTCCATAGGGTCAGGTAGTTTGGTAAATGCAGAATATCTGAATACATTCACAACTTGTAAGATATTCTTATGAATAATGTGGATGAATTATAAAGTCATCTACTTTATTCTCTGGTTTTGATGAACACCTTCCTACAAAAAAAATTTTATCACAGGATTTCTAACTTAATTTTCCATAATCAAAAACTTGACATATCACTGCCCTTGATGCTGGCATGAGAGTTCTAATCAAAAACTTCACATATGACTGCCCTTGATGCTGGCATGAGAGTTCTTAGCTGCAGTTCATTGGGCAAACATTTATTATTTACTTCTATGATTCTCAAAACTTTGTTTCACAAATACACCATGAATGTAAACCAATGAAGCTTGGCTCCTGCTTCTTTTTAATTTCAAACTCTCATGAAATTTAATTTTATAATAATGAAATTAATTATCCTATGTTTATACTGGGAGATAAGTAGGAAACTATAAACATTCAACTTTTTTAACAATAAGACTATTATTATTTTATATTAATAAGAATCCCTGGTTCTAACAGACAATAGTACCTTTTCCTCTTATATAAGTTTTTTAATGAAATATTAATACAGTATATGGTTGATAAATCACTTCCTTCCTAGCACATATCTGGGCTGTGGTATCTGATATACTGAGGTTTCTGACTACATCAATTGAGGTTCAGCAAAACCATCATTACCATAGGACTCTTGCATAGGTAACAAAAGGACATCATTTAAATGGAGCTTTTTACTTTGCACATCAGTTTTTCCTGTAGAAACTTGAGTTCAGTTAGAATGAACAGCTATGCAACCACATATTTTGTGTGTGTTGTGCATCAAACCTGATGCACCAGCATGTTAAAGTCTACAACATTTAAATGTAATCTATAGCAAAAACTAACAAATCCATGAGTGTCAATTATATTAAGATGAAACCTTACATCTCTCTCTGGAGCCTTATTCCTCACAATGTAAATATCTTACATTTCAGAATGATGTTAGAAAGAGATGAAGGTCCCTGACTGCAACTAAATTAAGTCAATTTCATTTTAACACACATTTAGTATAGGGATTTACATTTATGATAGGAAATGGAAATCTGAACAGCTAAAGATATAAAATCAAGTACACGAATGTGTATGATCTAAAGGTGAAGAAAAGGGAGTTCTTGTGGACAAAATTTCAAACGCATTCTTAAATTATGTGCACACCAAATGCTTAATTCTGCTCTTGAAGTTTACATTTATGGTAAAATTATTTCAGAGAGAATGGTGCTAAATTCAAAATGCATTATTTTATTTATGCTTAAATTATAATTTCTTTCAGCGATGTCCAATACTTTTAAGTGTATACACAAATGGGGGAAGGGGATTGTGAATAGATTATGTTTTGTATGAGATTAATCCTATGTGAACTGCTATGATTATGATTTTTAACAAGTCAAGGTGTTACAGAGTAGCAACACTAGTATTTGAAAAGAAGTGAACCTTCATCATTTCACACTGCATAGCTCAATGGGACTAACTGCACTATACACCACTGTAAATCTGTTCCTGATGCTGAAAATATATATATATATAATCTGTTATTGCAGTCAATTTTATGAACTCAGAAAAGTACAATAATGTATAAGTGTGCTGTATGACCATTCTCGATGCTACTCTATCTACCAGCATACTTATTATTCCACATCATCTTCAGACATCCCTGTAACAGATGTGGCATTCTCTGCTACGATCCGCTGGAAAAGAATAGCTACATAAATACCACTTGTTCAATAATTTCCTTATAAGATAACCAAAAATACACTAAACACACAGGCAAATATTTGCAAAGAACTGACTTTAAAATTATGTAAGACATTTTAGACATTGAGCTCTCTGGTCAACAGGCCATGGACATAACGTTTTGTATGTAATTTATAAAAGTATTATTACCTGATCTACAAAAACCTATATTAAACTAAACTAAAGTAATTAAATCTTCTCAGGCTATCAACTCTGTCAGTTTGTTCTTATATGTGCAGCTAACCAATGTTAAGTCTCATTACTTTATGTCACATATGGTCTAAAGCTTTGATGGCTATAGCCCTGATAATGGGGACAGAGATGATCCCTGAAACATTGAGGATTTTTAACTAGCTAATATAGCAGACAGCCTATGAAGATTTGATTAATGTTAATCACTGTGAAAGCCTTAGATCATTCATAACTTATACTAATTAGTCAGAATGCTGCAAAAATAAGACAAAACCATACTAGCAAAGCTAAAAAACCTGATATGATAACTGGTCATTTAGTCTATGTTGGATCAGTGAGTATGGAATTACAGAACAGGGCCAAATTTTTATATGAAATGCATGGTATCAAGGATCAGTAACTGTTCCTATGAGTTCTTTATTGCTTAAAACTCTGCAAGTATTAAATACCTGGCCAACTAAAGGAAGGCGCAGTAGCAGAAGATGGAACACTTGAGGTGGAAGTGTTTGCTGCAAAACTTGCAGAAGCTGATTTGGTTGCCCACATACTGCAACTGCATTACCAAGATGCTCAACCCCGCCCTCCAAATCGCCCTGTGCCAACAGTTCCTCACCTAGTTGTACCTAAAGAAATACAAGTTGCAATTAATTTCCTAGTCCCTTCCATGAAAATGATGGAATCACATTACTACTAGTTTCTCACCACTTCTCTCAAATTATTGCTCTAGGCAACTAACTTCTAACTAGAAGCAAGTCCCAAAAATCATTGTATCATGTGGCTCTTCATGTCATGTCACAAAGCTCAGCTTGCACTAAAACAAAAGTAAAGTTATGACTCCATAAAACTACACACATAACAGTTAGTTATGAATATATTACTTTAGCAAGAACCTAGTTCTGCAGATGGTTTCAATGTATTCTTCACAGAGATGCTTTATTTTCACTGAAGCATGTTTATTTACATGGATACAGAAGTCAAAATAAGCATTACTGGGGTGGAGAAAATCGTCATGCAGTTTATGAAATCCCTTTGATCTAATAACAGGAATATAGCGTGGAACCACTGCATAAAGAAAACATGCATTCCAAATACTGTTAAGATTAGTTATAGCAGCCTTCTTCAATGCAGTGGCCTAGTAAGAGAAAATAACTGGGTACCAAAGTGCAGACCATGTTGCTAACAACCTTAAGACAATGTGAGCTGAAGAATTCAAATCGAAGGTAGTCATGACTACCAGATTTTTATTTATAAGGACCAAGAGCACATAAACAATCTTGATTCACTGGAAGAATTTAAACAGATTATACTTTTATATAATATATCACACTTACCTCTTGAAGGAAGAATCTTTGAACAGCTTCATGATCTTTCAGATCTGGAAGTTTTGTCCCTGATGATTTGATAGCAGCACCTCTTCTAGCTTTTCTTCCTGGGAAAAGACGATATCAAATCAAAAAAAAAATTGGGTCGCTTTTTCTTTTAAGGGTTACTACTAATAGTTCGTAGTACAATAATATACAGATACCCTTAAGGTTGTGTTCAAAATAGTTCGACCGAGATTTCAAAGACCAACGTTAATTAGTAGTACAATAATATACAGATAACCTTAAGGTTGTGTTCAAAATAGTTCGGCCGAGATTTCAAAGACCAACGTTAATTACTCAGGTTAAAGATAGTATGCTGATACAAGTACGTCTCTACTGTGTTTTCAATTACTTTTAAGAAATAATAATGGAAAAGTACTGTGAAGGAGACTCAAGAGAAATATATATACTACGGTTTTACAGCATTTCTGTCATTGAGATTTACTTTATGCTCATTATAAGACATTAGACCAACGTAGCTTAAAACTCACGTTCCCTTAATTTCTTCTTAAAATTGGGATCGCTCCTTCGCTTTCTGTCGAAATATATACAATATCCAATAAACAATGTTCCACATATACCCGCTGCAATACCTATAGCTGCTTTTGAAACCATGGCCATAATGAAAATGTTGTTTCCCCAGTTACTTCTATACAGAACCCATCACCGACATAGACCAACTCGGATACGATCGTCATTCGAAGTGCTTTCATAAGTACCTCCATTGATTCGTTGAAATCTGTCTTATGCGACTGTACTATCGGTTTAGTGTTGGTTCTGAAATATTTTTGTTAGAAATAGGTTTATATGTTCCGTTTTAATGCAGACAACAATTTTGACACCTAATTTGAGTTTCATTTAATTATTTGTTTCTTACAATAATAAATACGTTCAAGAATAAGAATAAGAAGCACATTGCCTTAGCCTAAAATTTAGAAAGCAGAGATGGGTGTTTGTTATCGATAGTAGATTGTTACTAATCGATAGTTGATTAGTAAATATCGCGCCAAATTATTGAAGATATGTCTATGTAAAGATTTGACAAATATTGTAACTAGGAAAAACTGAATATGAATGTCAAGAAAAGGCCAATGCGTTACGCCCATACTGATGGCCACACGGACGTATGCTATTCTGATAATGGAAAGTAAGTATAGAATAAAACTGGAAGGTAAGTCGGTCTCCGTGCACCACGTAATTTATAATCGAGGAAACTGAAAGGCCGAGCCTACCTCCCCAACCATCATTGGTAACATGCAAAATAGCAGAAAATACAGTCATTCAGAAATGCCTTCACTGATTAAAATTACATTGCACTATAATGACATAGGTACATTCTTACCTGTGGAATTGATGGAGATGTGAGAATTTGGGCTGGCTTAGAAGATGATGATCCATCTTCACAGTGTGTTGGAGAACAAGCATTAACAGTCGTCTGTAAGGTGAGTACTGGTATAACTGTTATGATAATATTTGTTTGACATTCACCAAACTGATTGACTAATTTGGATTACATTGCAGTTTGGTGAAATATTTTCAGTCATGTTAAAAGTTGAAATCAACATTTCTGTTGTGTTTTTGGTCACAAAATAATTTTTGTTTCCAGAATGATCATTATTATGTTGGAACTGATAATAATAATGTACAAGCATATAGTTTTCCTGGATCAGATCGAGATGGAATTATATCACGCTTCACTGCAGCTGTCACACATATTGCTATCAGTAATGATGGCAAGAGAATTGTTGCAGGATCCAGGTAGACCTAACATCATTACTTTCAACTCACTAGCAGAGACTGATATAGATAGAAGTGAGGCATATTATGATCAAACTGTTGAATTAGCAGTTGTCATGGTATAAATTACAAACATATGTTAATGTGAAGGTGACTGTCTTTTGAGTTACATTGCCATGTAGTTTGGTAGAAATTTTACAAGTGTTTCAAAAGTCCCTGCTGTCCACCATGAGAACTATGAATCATACATTAATATGTATCAAAACTAGCGTAGTGAATAACAAATTATTATCCATCAAAGATCTGCATTGTAGTAGCGAGATGAATCTGTCCCATTCTAATATAGTGTCACATTTGTGACTTGTGGCATGTATCATCCATTTTACCATTTTTTAAAATGTCTTTGACCTGCCATAGTTTTGCAGTTTAGTGCATATGCCCACATGAAATTTCTTTTTCTTTTTTAACTACTTTTGCACTTGCTGATGAAGATTAGCTTTGCCTAACAGGCCTTTCACAGAACTTTCATAATCCATAGTTGTAGATTGGGACAGAATGAGGCTCCAAAATGAAGTGAATTTCATAACTTTTTATAATTGTTACAATTTAAATCATGGACAGTGAATAGTTTCCAAATAAAATATAGTATCATAAAATGACTAATGCCATTGTATTAAACCTAGAATGATAATACATCATATTAACAGCTTGGTTGACTCTGACACGTTGAAGAGGTTACTGGAATATTTCTGCATTAATTGCTTGTAGTTAGCTCCATATATGAGATTTATAGGGCTGTGCTGATGAGAAAAAAGTGGGCAGGAGTGATTGTTATCAACTTTAGGTGTTTATTTCAGCATTTGCCCACATGTGAGAATAATAATGACCTAGGAAAGTTGGTCCTGAAACTTTTTTAAAAATCAACCCCAGATGCCCATTTTACTTTTATGAAATTATTTTTTTATCCAATTTTCAGTGTTCATTTTTATTGGACATGTATACTACAGTTAGTGATTTATTAATAACAGATTTTTAATAGCTTTGCTCTATATGTGTTTTATTATTCCAGTGATATGGAGATCCATGTCAGCAATGTTGGCACTTCAAAGACTACAGTTTTAACAGGACATAAGGCTCCTATTCTTGGGGTTGCCTTAGATCCAAAGGATAAATATGTGGTAAGCATTTATCAAGGTCAGTTATTTGTGCTGTTGACCTTGTCCAGCATGTTGAATTGTCTTTAACATAATTAGCAAGATCTGTGGCATCTAGTCAAGATTGTGTTTTAAGTAAACACATATTCTAATCTCTTGTTTTGTGTTTACATAGTTGCATAGTTTATGTTTTGTGAATTTTATAGTAAAATTTTACAAGTGTTTCAAAAGTCCCTGCTGTCCACCATGAGAACTATGAATCATACATTAATATGTATCAAAACTAGCGTAGTGAATAACAAATTATTATCCATCAAAGATCTGCATTGTAGTAGCGAGATGAATCTGTCCCATTCTAATATAGTGTCACATTTGTGACTTGTGGCATGTATCATCCATTTTACCATTTTTTAAAATGTCTTTGACCTGCCATAGTTTTGCAGTTTAGTGCATATGCCCACATGAAATTTCTTTTTCTTTTTTAACTACTTTTGCACTTGCTGATGAAGATTAGCTTTGCCTAACAGGCCTTTCACAGAACTTTCATAATCCATAGTTGTAGATTGGGACAGAATGAGGCTCCAAAATGAAGTGAATTTCATAACTTTTTATAATTGTTACAATTTAAATCATGGACAGTGAATAGTTTCCAAATAAAATATAGTATCATAAAATGACTAATGCCATTGTATTAAACCTAGAATGATAATACATCATATTAACAGCTTGGTTGACTCTGACACGTTGAAGGGGTTACTGGAATATTTTTGTATTAATTGCTTGTAGTTAGCTCCATATATGAGATTTATAGGGCTGTGCTGATGAGAAAAAAGTGGGCAGGAGTGATTGTTATCAACTTTAGGTGTTTATTTCAGCATTTGCCCACATGTGAGAATAATAATGACCTAGGAAAGTTGGTCCTGAAACTTTTTTAAAAATCAACCCCAGATGCCCATTTTACTTTTATGAAATTATTTTTTTATCCAATTTTCAGTGTTCATTTTTATTGGACATGTATACTACAGTTAGTGATTTATTAATAACAGATTTTTAATAGCTTTGCTCTATATGTGTTTTATTATTCCAGTGATATGGAGATCCATGTCAGCAATGTTGGCACTTCAAAGACTACAGTTTTAACAGGACATAAGGCTCCTATTCTTGGGGTTGCCTTAGATCCAAAGGATAAATATGTGGTAAGCATTTATCAAGGTCAGTTATTTGTGCTGTTGACCTTGTCCAGCATGTTGAATTGTCTTTAACATAATTAGCAAGATCTGTGGCATCTAGTCAAGATTGTGTTTTAAGTAAACACATATTCTAATCTCTTGTTTTGTGTTTACATAGTTGCATAGTTTATGTTTTGTGAATTTTATAGTAAAATCGTTTATATGATTTAATTACATTTTTAAAGACAAAGACTATAAAGAAGAGGTTATAAAACAATTTAAATTACCATTCACATTCAAATAGCATATGTATTCACAGAGAAACATGTCCCTTATTTTCAGAAGTACAATGAGGTGGGGGAGGGGATTACATATCTTCAGATAATTGTTGTAATAGTAAATTTAGTGGAAATTGCCAAATTTTGTATGGCTTTGAATGGTCATTAAATACATTTTCAATCTGGTACTTTGTGTATCTGAATTTTGGATGTGGTTATACAATTTGAAACATACTGTTCTATCCTGTCTAATCCCCTAACCTGTCAAATTTTGTTTGGCATTAATATATATAACACAAATAAGATTGGGAAGGTGTAATCTGTACCAGATTACACAGTTTTCATGTGCATTCTTTGCACCTGTTCATTTTAGAATAGAAATTGTAATAAATTGCTTACACTAAGCAAGCATTTCCATTGCCTTCGGTTGACTAGTAGTTAGTGTGCTTGTCACTGGACCCAAGATTCGCGGGTTCAAACCCAGTGGAGGTTAGTTGATTTTTAAGGGTGATAGAAATTTGTAGCACAACTTCCTTCAGAGGGGAAGTAAAGCCTTCGGTCCCATGTCGTAGATTTATGACATATAAAAGAACCGTATGAACATGAACGAGATGTTTTGTAAGCAGAACTCAGTGGCTGTTTCTCACCCATGTCTCTCCTGATTCTCTGCTAGATGGCTCTACCAGTCAAAATCAGGAAATTGTGCAGAGGCAGTGGGCTGGTCACTCACTACTTGCAAATGCACACTTTGAGAGACTAAGAAACCTCCAAAAGGAGGCAGCTAAGACCTGCACTGGGTTGTAGAGCCACAGGATAAGAAGAAGCAATCATTACCATAAGTAGCATCCATGTAATGTATCAATAGGTTGCAAGTGATGTAGAAATGTAACCTTATGTTTCATTGTAGGATAAAATTTAATCATATACTATTGACTTATTCACAAAGAAATGAACGAATTTTATTCCCATGTATACTTTGTTGACTATTGCATCTACAGTGAAACCTCGATGCATTCTGGGTTGCTGCACCGTGTAGTATGGTAGAAGTTTTCCATTTCAGAGGTTCTTGCTGCCTCCATCGTTGCACAACAAAAGTTGCATATTTTTTGTAGGTGTTACCATCCATCAATGTATGACACAATATTGCACTAGTTCACAGGTTCAGAGATCTGCCAAGGTGGTATAACATATTGCAGGAAATTAAATAAGTATGATTTTAGGGTACCTGCCAATGGCATAATATCCATACCGAATTTTGTCAAAATCTGTGCAGCAGTTCTTTCATGTTGACAGACTTTGTCACCTTTCTGTGTGTTTATTTCATACTTATCATGCAAAGAATATATAATACTATTCTAACTTGGTTGTTTCCTTTCATTATGTATATTCAAAAGATAATTATGGATATTCAATGGTCAATAAAAAGTACCCTATAATGTCACAGTTATGACTCATGTTTAACTATTACAGTAGAGCTGCCATTGTGGTTTGGCCTTTGCGTTGTCAGTGAAACTCTGCATGTACTCGTAGTATTCTAATAATAATGGAGAACCAATGTGCCCAGAGTTTTACATAATTGTAATACAGAATGTTCTTATATTCAAAAGTGTACAGTTTGAGTCATAGTCTACTAATCATTTGTAGTTGATAATTATCTGGTATATTTTATGTCACCTCGATGCAATTATGTCTTAAGCAGGAGCATAATGAGATATTAGGCATAGGTAATTAAACCAATCCTGTAAATCAGATTGAAGAACTTGTGTCATGCACATGTGTTATTTAATCATTCTCCTATAAGACATGTATGTTTGAGTACCTAATGATAAGTGTTAAATTATGTGTTTATTTTATCTTCATGAAAGATGTGCATTCTTGTTTTCAGACACCAAATTTTGGTGAAAATGTGCATGTATAATGTGAGTGAATAGTGTGACCTGCCTTTGCATTTTCCATAATCCCTTCTAGTACTGTCATCAGATGCTTTTGAATTCTTCAAGTGACTCAAAGTTTGATACTTATGAGGAAATGTTTAGCTTTGGAAACATGAAAAGTCACACAGGGACAAATTAAGTATGGTGGATGTTCTCACACTGGTATTTGTTTCTGGCCAAAAATTGCTTCACTGTAAGTACTGTATGGAAAGTGTCATTGCCATAAAGCAATATTTTACTTTTTTGGACATATTCGGTCTTATTTTCTCTTTCTCTCCCCCCACCCTCCCAAATACATTGCCATAAGTGTTTTGAAACTCTGAGGTAAGATGCTTGGTTTATTGTTTTGGAAGAAGAAATCCAGATGTCAGAAATGTGGATGAGTATGGTTTTCTCCCTTGATTTTTACATGTGCTGCTTTCAGTCTTGGAATCTAGGACTTTCCCATTGGTACTATGGTTTGTTTCTTGGGTCATACTGGAAGACTAAAGTATCACAACAGTCACTGTGTTTTCCAAAACATAGGCTTTTTCAACAGTAATGCTGAAAGTTTGAGAACAACAAAAGTTGCATATTTTTTGTAGGTGTTACCATCCATCAATGTATGACACAATATTGCACTAGTTCACAGGTTCAGAGATCTGCCAAGGTGGTATAACATATTGCAGGAAATTAAATAAGTATGATTTTAGGGTACCTGCCAATGGCATAATATCCATACCGAATTTTGTCAAAATCTGTGCAGCAGTTCTTTCATGTTGACAGACTTTGTCACCTTTCTGTGTGTTTATTTCATACTTATCATGCAAAGAATATATAATACTATTCTAACTTGGTTGTTTCCTTTCATTATGTATATTCAAAAGATAATTATGGATATTCAATGGTCAATAAAAAGTACCCTATAATGTCACAGTTATGACTCATGTTTAACTATTACAGTAGAGCTGCCATTGTGGTTTGGCCTTTGCGTTGTCAGTGAAACTCTGCATGTACTCGTAGTATTCTAATAATAATGGAGAACCAATGTGCCCAGAGTTTTACATAATTGTAATACAGAATGTTCTTATATTCAAAAGTGTACAGTTTGAGTCATAGTCTACTAATCATTTGTAGTTGATAATTATCTGGTATATTTTATGTCACCTCGATGCAATTATGTCTTAAGCAGGAGCATAATGAGATATTAGGCATAGGTAATTAAACCAATCCTGTAAATCAGATTGAAGAACTTGTGTCATGCACATGTGTTATTTAATCATTCTCCTATAAGACATGTATGTTTGAGTACCTAATGATAAGTGTTAAATTATGTGTTTATTTTATCTTCATGAAAGATGTGCATTCTTGTTTTCAGACACCAAATTTTGGTGAAAATGTGCATGTATAATGTGAGTGAATAGTGTGACCTGCCTTTGCATTTTCCATAATCCCTTCTAGTACTGTCATCAGATGCTTTTGAATTCTTCAAGTGACTCAAAGTTTGATACTTATGAGGAAATGTTTAGCTTTGGAAACATGAAAAGTCACACAGGGACAAATTAAGTATGGTGGATGTTCTCACACTGGTATTTGTTTCTGGCCAAAAATTGCTTCACTGTAAGTACTGTATGGAAAGTGTCATTGCCATAAAGCAATATTTTACTTTTTTGGACATATTCGGTCTTATTTTCTCTTTCTCTCCCCCCACCCTCCCAAATACATTGCCATAAGTGTTTTGAAACTCTGAGGTAAGATGCTTGGTTTATTGTTTTGGAAGAAGAAATCCAGATGTCAGAAATGTGGATGAGTATGGTTTTCTCCCTTGATTTTTACATGTGCTGCTTTCAGTCTTGGAATCTAGGACTTTCCCATTGGTACTATGGTTTGTTTCTTGGGTCATACTGGAAGACTAAAGTATCACAACAGTCACTGTGTTTTCCAAAACATAGGCTTTTTCAACAGTAATGCTGAAAGTTTGAGATTTTTTGCTATCTTGGAAACAATGAATAAGTGATTATTTCTCACCATTTTAGTCACTTTTTCCACATTTGAAGTTGAGACTTAAGTTTCTCATGTGGTGAAAATGTTGCCATCAGTCTTCTTTGTTGTTGTTATGGCATGTAGACTTGCAGATAGGTACCTGTTACAACCCAGAAGACCAACATTGAGATCTTGAAGTTGCTGGATGATCTTTTGTCATCTGCATTGCCTTCCCTTCCATCATGTCATTTAACCACATCACTTGTGTTCTACTGATTTCTGCCCTCATAAACTTGTTGCAACATTTTATAGTCATCACTGGATTATCTTCACTAGAAATCAATATTGATTCTCTGTTCTGATGGCATATATCACCTGCCTTCAGCCAATAAATCACAACTAAAAAAATCCAAATCCAAGCAACCACAAAATTGCTGAGTTGTGTAACCATGGTCCATTATGCATCAAGTCACTTGTATTGCCATTTGCTGCACAAAATAATCAGTTTCTTTCTTAATTGTCAGACATCTTACTTGAAATATCAATAGGGAAGTAATGCATAGAGTTTAAGACAAAAATAAATAAAGTTTTAGAATTAGCTATAGAATTGGACAAGGGGACCTACAAAAAAATAATTCTTATCCTTGTGTTTTTGTGTGTGTGTTGTCTTAAAACAGAGTTGAGTTTGCTAAAATTTTCTTTTTTATGTTATGTATTATTTCGCTGAACTTTGCATTGAATGATGTAATTTACAATGAAGAAAATAATTTTTTATAGGCATCATCGAGCTGTGATGGGACAGTACGTGTATGGACAATTGATGATACCCAGACCGTGCATTCGTGGAATTGTGTTCCTGTATGCAATGCCTTCTTGGCAGCTAAGTGCCTTGGACGTCCATCATGGCAGCCCAAGACTGGACACTATTTGGCTGTGCCTCATGGAAAAGAGATTCGAATCTATGAGAGAGAGACATGGAATAAGGTCTTATCTTTTTCTCACGACCAAGTGAAACAGGTTAGATATTAATCACAGAGGAAATGTAGAAAAACAATTGCATAATGTCTGTTAATCTGTATTACCCTCATGCAGTGTTTATTGTATGCATAAAATGGTTTAAAAAAATGGCCCAGCGATGCTTCTGGAAGATGGATTACAGCTCACTGTTTTCCATGGTAATTAACTGTTTTTAAGCCTATGTGTGGATTTTCTTTGGCCTGGTACACACAATTGTGCTGACTGATAGAACAGTATAATTAAATTTTAAAATATATTTAGGCTAAATAATTAAATAGAAGAAATTCATTTTCATGAAGCAAGTATAGAAACTGATCTCAAAATTAAAGCTGTTGATCTGAATCATCTTTATTTGTGGCATACAGCATTTCAATAAGTATTGTTTCCACTTTGCATAATGCAGAATGTGATTAACACCGGTTTTAAAGATACTGATCTCATGAGGTCACTGCCTTACACACTTTCCGTAAAAGCTCGACACTTTCCATGCACTTTCACCATGCCATGTAGTGGAGTAAACAGAATGTATAATGGCATCTGGCTGTATTATTACATATCACTGTCAAATATCACCCTGCTGCCTGTTATGTTTTATGAATATTTATAGATATGCACTATTTTGGAGCACAAGAAATTCTCTCAGAATTTAAATACCTAACAAGAATTATAACAAATACTGTTCAGTTTCAAAATTACATTGTAATATGATACAAAAACAATCTTTTTTCACTCATTTGGTAGTACTGTGAAACATGGCCTTATTTTAAGAGAGTAGCATAGAAAGTAGGTATGTGAAGACTGAGTCCTAAAGAAAATAATTTGGATTATGATGGGCAAGACATGTAGCTTGGGTGTGGTAATCATGATTTTATATACCTTTTTGGTGGAGAAATTTCTAGAAATATGGCCTCTTGGAATAATGAGTTAGAGATGGGAAGGAAATATTAAAAATTTTGTTGGGGAGTACAGGTTGTAAGGATATAAAACAGATTAAATTGGCTTAAGGTTATGCTGAAACTAGGTGTTGTTACCAAAGAAAATTAATTACGTATATTCTTAGGTTGTGTATGTGTGCAGCATGGGCCAGTTGTCTTACATTTATAAATATATTTGGTTTACAGGATTTTTCAATCTCAGCATATTCTCCTTGCGGCAACTATTTGGCAGGTTGTACATCAGGTGGAGACATCTGTGTGTGGAATGTGAACCTCCATACCTGTGTCATGAGCACTCGACATGATCGTGGATACAGAATTTGTGGACTGGCATGGAACCCAGGTGGCAACGGTGAGATTGCTTATTGTGATGTCATGGGCCAGTTGGGCACTATCGAGGATTGCATACCTTCTGCTTCTCAAGACAACTCATCTGTTACACAGGTAAGTTTCTTTAAGTGAATGCTCAGAAAATTCAACTACTGTACTTTGATGTATTGTTATATTTTACAGAATATAAAATGCTTTTGTCTTGGAAAATGCTTCCTAAAATCTGTGTTCATCTTACAGACCAATGTGTAACAGGTCTTCTCTTAAAATTTTCTGTCTAAAATCTGGGTATGTCTTGCAGTCTGCAGAATATGGTATATTTTCCATTTCATCTTCAGCATGTATTATTATTGAATGCAGTCCCTTTTTTTTTCCATACAATAAAACACTGAGAGGAAAATATGTGGGTAGTTCTTCACATAGTGGAAAAATTGTGGCCTCAAAACAGGTAGTCTAATGTGCTTTTACATAAAATAACTTGTATTATTGTAATAAATTATCTAAATACAGGTAACCCTCGATTTGGGCCGGTTCAATTTGTGCTGATTCAGAATAATGCCGCTTTTGAAACCAGCAAGTCAAAAAGTGAAGAAAAAAATTATTTTTCTATTATTTATAACGTTTTACAATGATTCTCGTACTGATTCTTATACTAAATAATAATTCTTACTTCGCTGATTTTGAATAAAAATTATAAATACGGTCATCTCTGCAATTACGTATGTTTCGTTAACGCGAATTTGCTCCAATGAGATCGATGAATCGGTAAAAGCTGTTTGTGAAACGCAAACTTTTGCATTTGCGAGTTTGCTCTTATGAAATTTCATTCCTGGCGCTATAAACTTTCAAAGGACTAATTTAATCTCTGCAGAGGTACCGGGGTTATTTTTACTACACGATTTTCTATAGATCGGCATTTTACATGAATGCAACTATCGCATAACAGCAGAGATGACTGTACACATCAGTCACATGAAAGAATTGCAGTCATTCGCGGGGACCAACGAATTGCCGATTGTAAGTGTATAAAATATATTTTTTAAATTCCCTTTATTTTATTTACGTTATTTCAGAACTTTAAATGTAATGTCATTATATTGCTCGTCAGTGTTTGGGTGCTGGGAACGCATGTCATTGACTTCCCATTGATTTAAATTATAAAAAGAGTTTCCATTTATGCCGGTTCATCCAGGAACGCATCCCCAGCGTAAATCGAGAGTTGCCTGTATAGTGTGGGTAGGACATACAAAAATTGAAGAAGGATGAGGTCATTAATATTTTATTGTGATATGAAATTAAAATCTAGATCTACTTCAAATATTTTTCAGTGTAATGAATGCATAACAAAAGACAAGAGCAAATAATTTATGATTTTGTGCATTGATGTATGACATAAAGCTTTCATGGTGGATGTCATTAATAAAATCTTTTCAGGCCAGCCATGTCACTTGATGTCTATAACACCAGATTTGTATATGCAACAAATTATAACATATCAAGGCCATTGAGGCATGCAAAATAATTAACACTTTACAACATAAAAAGGTGATGTGAAATGAAAGAATAATTTAGGTAATAAAATTATATTTTGAATAATAATGTGAATGTAGGAGGAAACCCACTGGTGAATAAAATTGTCTTCCCATCACCTACTTGAAAACATTGTGGTTAAAATACATGAAACTAGTAATTTGCAGTGCAGTCAACATTTACTTTGTAAAAGGATATTTAAAGTGTGTCAGGCGTTTGAAGATTTGCACTTGTAACTCATTAGGGTGGTAACGGAGAAGAGCACTTTCTTGAACTTAGATTGGAATCTGCCTTTTTTCTTCACAAAGCAGTTTATTCTGTTCAGTTATGTTCTGGAAATCTTACATATCAACTATTGGGTCACTTTTCACCAGTTACATACTCCTTTAACTTGTAGTATTATATAAAATGTTATAGTCAGTCATGTTAGTTGCTAACTTGGTTGTCATATCTCAAATACTTCATGTAATGCACTGTTTCTTTGGTTCATTTTTATCTGCTTGAATATATGTTTATTATTTCATGTATTGAGCCCTAATAGTACTTTTGTATATTGTATTACTTAATATCCAGGTTATTTAAATGTAACATTCATCTTAGACCTAGCACAATATGAATATGTACAACAACCATGGTTTGCCTTCAGCACAAACTTAACTTACTTTTGAACTGAATCAATTCCACTATCTGATTACTTGGAGTAGAGTCAGTGAGAAGATTAATAGTTGGTTAGCTAGTCAAATCTGATCTTTTATGGAACCTGAAGATTCATTACCATGTTTACAATATCCTGCCACTGGACTTTGTTCCGAGTCAGTTGAATCCACTCTACATTCTCACTGTACTTCTATAAAATCCAGTCTAATATTACCCTTCCATGTATGCCTAGGTCTCCTAAGTGGTTTCTGCTATTCAGGTTTTCAAACTAAAATTCATATTTCAATTCTAAAGGGTTTTGACGACAGTAGTTTACACTTAAAATTATTTGTTGTCAGGACCTTTTCCATTGTCTATTTTTTAAACGACTTTTCTACTGACAGAACCTGTACTTGGGTGGATAAGTTGAAATTATTGCATGATTTATATTGTCCAGTGACAGAGACTAGCTCTTTCTAAGGGACCCAACAGAGTAGGTACCTCTCACCTGAAGACGGAGACAGAACCAGCCTCCGAAACGTTGTGAATTTTAAAAAAACCGACGATGGAAAAAGTTCTGACAACAAATAATTTTAAGTAAAATTTGTATGTATTTCTCTTCTTCCTGCTGCATGCTACATTCCCTGCCATCTCATCCTCTTTGATTTATTATCCTAATAATATCTGATGACGAGTGCATTATAAATTTCCTCATTATGCAGTTTTTCCGGCCTCCTGTTATTACCTCACTTTTAGAATTATTCAACCAGAAAAGAATCTTTTTATAGATAAACCTCTAAAAATCCAGCAGAATGCAAAGTGTGATTTTTTATGCAAAACAACAGTCATGCATGGCAAACGAGAGTTCAAGAGGCTATTCAACACAATATGCAATGTTACTTGCCACTGCTGTTTTCCAAAAGGATGAAGTCCTTCCTCATAGGGCATGAGAGGTACATGACTTCTTCACCATTTGGTGATAACTGGCATGACTGGGAATGTCTAGTACCATGGCCACCCAATTCCCTTGATGTCACTCCAAATGACTTCTTGCTCTGAGGTCATGTTAAAGACAGTGTTATGGCCAGCTACTCCACTGACTACCTGAACTTTACAAACTCATTGTCATGGCAAGAGCTTCCTTATCACTACAGCCTCTGCCATGTTGAGAACTAGTAGAACATTACCAGCCTTTGAGTATCTTGTTTTGTTTTGTTTGTTTGTTTTTTTTTCCCCCACGTCTGGATATGCAGTGCTTTTTCTGCAATAGATATTTCTTTTTGAATGAATAATTGTGGAACATTCTGTATTTTCTGCAGAACCATGTTCTGAAACATCCTAAATCTGTATTTCATTTAGAATGAGAGACCACATTTGATATATGTGTATGTAAACAACAGATAAAATAACAGTTGTGCATTTTGAACTTTATGTTTTTAGGTAGAGGCTGACAATTTTATCAACCAGTAATATGCTTATAGGCACACTCGTATATATGCCTGTGTTTCTAACATTGTAAGTCAATAATTTGTCATCCATATGTTTCAGGAGAAGACCATGACAGTTGATGACATGATCCACCTGAACCCAATTGATGATGATGATGATGATGATAATGAAAATGTAATTTCCTTGGATAAGATCAAAGCAGAACTTTCACAGCCATCGTTTTTTGGTGACAATGACAAGTTGAGCCATGCAGGTGTGAACAGTATGTTTAGGGTGGTATATATTTAACCCCCTCACTGTTTTTGAAAATAGATATGTCAATAGGCTGTGCATTAGCAAATAATCAACCTATTCTGAGAAATATTTTGTCCCCTCACATTCAATATGGTGTTCTTATATTTAAAATAAAAGATATATACAAGGTTACAACTTATGTTGTGAAGGTTTCATGGTAGCTGTTGCTAATAAAATCTGCTCGGGCCATCAGCCGTGTTGGGTGATTAAAACCTACCGATGTTTTAAGGACCATTTCTGTCTTCATCCTCATTCTAAGTGACCCACATGTATACCTGCACTTCACTTGTGCATGGATCTGAGTGCAAGCTAGTGGGCAGAGTCAATTGCTTGCTTTGCTTGAGCCTGTCTTTTAATTTGTGAACTCTGAATTGTTTGATTATGTTGATCACTGGATCCCAGGAATGAGTAAGTGTGAAGCCTTCCCTCTTCCCTGTTAAAATTCCTGGAGCGAATCTTGATCTCAATAGCCTCTTTTATCTCACTGTCTATATATCCTGTAGCCTTATCCAGGACTTAAGTACTGCCAAAGTTGATGTTATGTCCTGTGTTAAATCTATGCTCCGCTGTGTTATTTGTACACATCATACAGATCTTTTGTAACAAATTGCACCAGGGTGCATTTTGGAAGATTTTTCTAGTTACAAAGAATAGGAAAGATTTTCTTAGGCTTTTTACTGCAGATAAATTTTCTCATAATACACTGATTCAGTCTGGACAAAGTTATTTAATTTTCTGGTAATGAGAATCAAACTTCCAATGTCCATATTAATATTTGCGGCCCTATATCGGGCTGAGCCCACCACAGATTTTATGGAATTTTACATGATCTGGAGTCAAACTGAGGCTGGCAAACAGTGTCAGCATATCATTCAAGCCTTCTTCTTTGCACTAGTTCTATCCTAGGTTTCCTGGTAAGACTGTGTACCTTATAATAGCGAAAGAATGCAGGAGAGTAACGTCATCTTATCCTGACACCTGTCCAAAGAAGCCAGTACTCCACACAAAGTGTTTTGCCATACATCATATAGTGAAGGAAAACCATCGGGTGTGTAGTTGTCATATTTACTTAGAATAGAAGTATTTTATATGTGATAAAGTTATAAAACAAATATCCCATATTCCTAGTATGAAATTATATTTTTTAAATTAATGTTTACCCATAGAACAATCCACCACTGACATATGCATATTCATTCATCTTCTTATCAAGCATTCTGTATGTGTAGTGACTTCATCGTTTACAGTTTGCGATCCATTTCACTTTTATGGTGTCAAACTTAGTCTTGATCTTTTGAACACAATCAGCGCGAAAGGAAGCATAGCTCTGATACTAAGAAATCCAATGCTTATACATCGTATATCTGCAAACAAGATGAACTGTGATCTCTCAGAACATATTTCACCATATTTAGCAATGTTTCTTCCATTTTATGCAAGTTATAAAAGAAAATCAAACCAGTTCATAATAATAGTTGAATTTATACAGCTTAGTGATATTTAAATAGACCAACAGAGAGCAAAGGTTAATATTTTTAATTTTCTAATCTTAATAATAGAGGGTGAGAAATAAAGTTTTGTTTTCTGAGAAAAGAGGTTCATAAAAGCTACTATAGATTTCTACTATCTCTGTTTCTTCTAACCTATCTTGTCGTATTGGTTATTTTTAACACACTTCATTACTGACTGATTCATCTAATGGAGAATGTTATTCTTTTATGTGCACTAGAGTTGAATTTGCCATGAACATTATGTGGATATGTTCAACTACAATCAAATGCTGCAGCAGTATGGTTAAATTTAACTCCCAAGTGTTTATGGTCAAGAATTTTAAAGAACGGTATATCTTTAATCAAATAAAAATAGGTGTTCTGTGGCACTTTCTAATATGCAACTTAACTCTTGCAGTTTACTTTAAATTTTGCATCTTCTGTGTTGATTTTAAGTGTCTGAAATTAGAAAAGTTGAAAAAGTACCAGTTGTCTTCTTTATTTTGTAACTTGATTTATTTAATAGTTGCAGATGATGATGATGATGTTGAAAGTAAAATAAGTGGAGTAGCCAGAATTGCTCCGGTGTGTGATCTCCAGCCCCCATTTCAGCCTTCATCTACACCGGTCCATTTGCAACACAGATTCATGGTGAGAACCTTAAATGCATGTAGCTGCACTATGTATTAAATATGAATTTGGAATTAACCCTATAAAACCCAGTTTTAGCGATGTCCCACCTGCTTCAATAATAAGTTACTGCTTATTTTGTATTAATAAGTTTTGTGTGATTCTAAATGTAAACAGTTATTTCCTGGAACAACATTAAGCAGTGATCTTTCAATTTTGAAGTGTTTTCTTTGCAGTGCAGACTGTATTCTTAAATACTGTTTAGATGAGCTTCAGCTTTAAATGGTTAAAGAGGCATTAAGAACAATTTTTTTCTGATTAGTACTGATATGCAAGCATCCTAACATCTTGAATTTTTCATGTTATCAGACAAAAGTATATAAATTGAGTAGGTTTTGGTATTTACAAGACACATTTGAAAGTGGCCAATTTTTGGATCAGAATGTGGAAAATAATTGGACACCTGATATCTAGAGTCCAGATAATATCACTGACAGAAGTTGTTACATAGTGAACTTAAGGGCCGTTTCACACTGTTGACCGGTCGCCGGCGACCAGTCGCTGAACGACCACCAGGTAGAAAAGCTAAGTACGAGCTCACACACGAGGGCGACCACAACCAATGGCCGCCGGCGACCAACAAGCAGTGAGCGACGCACAGGAGACCAACAACCACGAGATACATAGATGGCAATCACGTGTTCACATTGCGGGCGACTCAGTCAGCGACCAGAGCTCAGAGAGGTGATATATCCATTGTTTCTTGTTTTCTCCCGTCTTGTTCATGTCACTCAAGTGATCAGTATATCATGCTTTTTGGTACTGAAAGATTTATTTCGGCTGTAGAGTCACGAAGAGCCATTTCGGACCTTGCAAGTCCCGATTATGCAAACAGGGAGTTGAAAAAAAGTCAGTGGGAAGAGGTTGTGGAATTGTTTGACACATTTTTATCATTATAGTCGACGTCCACACTGTTTGACTGCTTCCAAAGTATTTTTTTTTTACTGAGGCTGAGGCCTCTGTCTGCACTGGTCTCCTCGTTTGGTCGCTGATGGTTTTGGTCGTTCAGCGACTGGGTCGCCGGCGACCAGAAAGGATAATGAAATGGCCCTAAGGGTCAGGTAGCTCATCAACTCTTTATTCTATATGCTTGATTAATAAAGTAAAACAAAAATAGTGTAAGGTACTTTACCTGCATCATCATTTGTTAATACATCAAAATTTTGGATTGATTCTGCATTTTGCCCTTGTGTCATTTTAATGAAAGTAAGGTGGTTTTGTTTAAGATTGAAAGTATGCCCATGCATTTTCTGCATATATCTATGTTATGTGGTTCAGGAAATTCCTTTCCAAATTGCTTTATTACTTGAACTATGAGTGTAATTTATGTTTGATTATGATTTCCTTAAAAAATCTCTGGATGGAATTTTTACATAGCTGTCAAATGGGGCAATTACAATAATCATACTGTGGGATATTCAAGTGTTATAGGGCATGATATACAACACAGGAAATAAAAAGATAGCTCCCTGTGACACTACAGTCAACAGTGATCAAAACTAAATGCACAGTAATAGTCTAACTGTTGTACTGTAATCATTCCATGGCAGTAAGACATCAGCAAGAAAGGAAAAGTAAATTGAACATCATGTTCCATGAATACTGAGGTATGTATTTGATCCTTGGTGCTTGTGGTAATGGCCTATGCTGCAGCCAGGGTGTACACAGACATGTATCCAGCACGCACCATCCAGACAGTAATGTCTTTTGTCGGTTGGAAGAGAGGATGAGGAAGATTGGCAATGTCCTATCAACACCACTATTGGATAGCGGTCAGTTGCACAGTCACCAGATACAAGCACTTGAAGAGATGGTTCTGGATATGGTGGCACAGAATCCATGTCATAGTACATGAGGAATTGCCTGAAAGTTAGGTGTTGAACAACACACTGTCCATTTAATCCTCCATGATGAAGACTATATCCATACTACTACTCACAGGCTCAAGGTCTCGTGCATTATGATTGTTGTCTCTAATACTGCAAGTGGCTTTTGTAGGAATATGAACATGATCCGGGCTTTTTGGTGCACGTGTGGTTGGGTGAAGCAGCATTCACACATGAAGGTGTTTTCATCAGTCACTTGTGGGCACAGCATAATCCACATGTAATGCACAAGTGGGTTATAAAATTTGTTGGAGCATTAATTTGTGGGCTGGTATCATTAGTAATTGTGCGGATGGGCCATACCTACTATCCGACCACCTCAGTCGTCCTGCTTATTGTTTATTTATTCCTATAGGAAGTGCTACTGGTACTGCTCGAACATATGCCATTAGTGGTTCAATGTAATGTGATTTCAACTTGAAGGGGTGCCAGCATATTTTAGTTCACAGATCCAACAGCACCTGAACACACAGTTGCCTGACAGGTGGCTCAGGATTATGGCCTGCCAGGTTACCAGACCCAAACCATCTGGACTTCTTCCTTTGGGAATACCTGAAAGAGATTTTTTGTGGGGATCCAATGACTGACATGGAAGACTTGACAGCAAAGTTTCATGCTGTTGTGGCGACCATTGATGCAAACATATTACAACGTGCATCCTCGTTTTCCATGATGTGTGGTTGCATGACAGCGAATGCGTGGTGGACTTGAAACTCTTACTGTTAAATACTGTCCTCTTAGATATGTATCTGCTGTGTTTTGTGTCGGCAAACACTGCTCACTAAAGTGTTGTATATACTGATGTGTGAACTGTGCATCTTCTTATGTATGCTATTCTTTTGTATTAACTCACTTTTTCATGAGTGTCACCTGCAGTTTCTCTTAATTCAACCCTCCATGTGTGTGTGTCTGTCTCTCCGCATCACTATTTTCTTTGTTACTTATGATTGGTGCAACTCTTGCTGTATTTGACAGTTCCTACTTACCATGATATCTTGGAAATGATTTGTTCTAGAGAATTCTTTCTTTTACATTTTTGTTTTGAGGTTTTCCACCTATTCTCATTGTTATTATGCACCATTTTTCATGCACTCTGGAAAAATGGTTGAATGGATCGTGAAGAAATTTTATTTTGGCAGCCCTTACTAAACTTTATTGGTTTTCTCTCCCAAATGACTTTTTGAAGTCTACATCCTCCATCTGTTGTTGGAATTGTTAAGTGTCTGTAAGAATGCACAGTACACACTTTAACTTTAATTGTGCTGGTTTACAGGTGTGGAATTCTGTTGGCATTGTACGTTGTTACAGCACTGAAGATGAGAACTCTGTTGACGTGGAATTCCATGACACATCCTTGCATCATGCCCTCCACATTAATAATTTTTTTAAACACACCATGGCAACATTAACCGATGAAGTTTTAGTCTTGGCATGTGAGATTCAGGATGAGGCTCCAAGGTATGTCTCTGAAATTCCTTTAGGTGAAATGAGTCAACATATTCATTGTGTCGAAGAAAGTGTTCCGTAATAGTAATGCATTTACTGTATCCTTAATCATTGATGAATAGTAACTAAGAAGGCCTATGTTCATACTTAAATTTAAAGAAGATTGTAGAATGCAGGATTTGAGATTTTGGCAGTGAATGTGAAGATGACTGTCTTCTGGGTTGTAGAACCATGTAGTCGGAAGAAGTTTATGAACGTTTCAGAGGTACTCAGGGCACCTTGATGATGGAAGCAGCAAGTAGCCTAAAACAATGGTAAACTTCTATGAGACTATACAGTAACTCAAAAGACAGCCATCTTCAGGATAAAAGAATGATTGTTTCTGTAATATGCTCTGTTGGAATGCAGTCTGGCTAGTACTGGGTTGCCTGACCAACAAAACTGGATGAATATAAAAATAAATTTTCTAATCATTAAAATCTCTAAATGCTTTGCTTGGAATCAGCTGTATGCATTGTGTAGCTTATACACCATAGCATTTAATTTATGCCAGGCCAGGGAATTGGATAGATTTACCATTCAAGCAATGGTCCTTCAACTGTGCTTTCATGTGTGTATCACCATTAAAGAGTGAATATGTTTATGTTTACTGCCAGGTCATGAAGTCTAAACCTTGCATGATTTATAGACTGGGATTTGCTGTAAGGTTCTGAAGCTAATGAATTAATGAGGATAGGAGGAAGCATTTGTCATGTAGAGTATTATCTGAGCATACAGTTTTCTGAACAGCTGTTTCACATAATTATTACTTTGTGCAGCAAAGTGGTATGTGTGCTGTTGAATTCATGGGATGGCAGCAAAGAGTGGAGTGTAGACCTGCCTGAAGGAGAAGAGGCCCTGGCAATTGCAGCTGGTAAAGGTTGGCTTGCTGTTGCTACTGACACAAGAAACCTGCGGCTGTTCACTGTTGCAGGAACTCAACGAGAAGTGGTCTCTCTGCCAGGTCCAGTAGTATGTGTTGCTGGTCACAGAAACAGACTGTTGACTGTTTTCCACAATGGCATGGGTAAGTTAAAGAACTAGAGCAGATTTATTCTCAGGGTTGACAGAAGTACACGCAGAAGACACAAATTTAGTTCATTCATTAAGCAAGATGATTCCATAGACTACATTATAAATACAAGAAAAATAATCAACATTGTTTAGCCTACTTGAATGTTAGGTGGGGACATGCAAGTTATGAAAATTAAAGCAGGGAGAGAATGGATAATGAAAGAGGGTTTAAACAAGAAATGAAGGCTTTGTTATAAGACAGTCCTCCCTCATTGAAGTGTAAGTGGATGATGATAAAGGTTTCAAATTTTTCAGTGAGTGGATTTATTTTCTAAATAAAACCAGATTTCACTCATTTCCACACAGTTTGCCTTAGAAATACTCACACCATGCAATATAAATCAGTTAGGCTTCATATTATTCGGACTTTGTTGTGCAGGTCTTCCAGGTGACCAGAGTCTTGGATTCGCTGTATTTTCACTGGGTTCAGGACAGTTACAGGTTCTTACAGCTTTTCAGCCACTTTCCATGACGCCAAAATCAACTCTGAAGTGGGCAGGCTTTTCTGATGAGGGAACACCATTTACATTAGACTCAGCTGGAATTATTCGCATGTTTTCAAGGAAAAGTTTCTGGCTTCCTCTTTGTGATACTCAAGCTCATGTATGTATATTTATCCCTGTATAATATTTACTAATCAGTTAATGTTTATATGTATGATTTCATTTTTGCTGATTTTTCAACTACAACCAGTAATGTTCATACTGTATATAAAAGTGGCTTGCCTCTGCAGGTAGCCCATATTAATCATGTTGCTTATGATCCTGAATTAATTTGGATTTAACAATTTGCCATGAATATGTAATTCCCAGTAAATACATAGTAGTTAGACTTTTGCAGCTATGAATTATTATCCTGATTTATTTCCTTACTAGCAATAATTTGAGCTTCTCAGTAGATGGAATCTGAGACAGATACTACTCTGGCAGATTCCTTTTATACATCTTTGTCTCTATTTGCTACAATGTTCATATATTATACCTTTATTTGGCAGCAGTTTTTCTTCTTCTTCTTCAAATAATCATATACAAGCTGTACAATGAGTGGAAGTAAAAATGCAATCTGCAACACAATCTACAGCACAAAACATCTAAGCAAGAGATGCTGTTTACTTAGCTTAACAGCATTAGTTTTCCATTATTTTTTCATATACTGATATGTTAGGTTATGGTCCTGCTGTCATTTCAAAGGATAATGACAAATAGTGGATGGCAGATTTATTTCTGATTATGACATGTAAAAAAATTAATAGGTAATTAAACAAATGATGAAAACTCTCATTTACAAGAAGTTGGAAGCACTATTTGCATTACCAGAAATTGCACATCGCTATTTTTCCTGAAGCTAATACTTATTTAATTAGATAGTTAATCTTGAGCTGCTCTTTTCTGTTATTTGAGTGGTTTGCAAAAGAAAATACGTTGTTAAGGTTGATGCATATGTGTACATGTTTTTCTTAATAATGTTTGAAGTAACTTTCCAAAAATTCTGTAGGAAGATATACTGTATTTTCTAAATACCTTTGGCACTTTTTTATCCCCCCCCCCTCCCAATAGAACTAGATGTTCATCATATTTGAGGATTCATTTTGAGTAACACAGAGTGCTGCACATCAGAAGACAAGATGCAGTTTAAGACTTGAATAGAATAGAATTTATTTACATTCCATAGATCCTTCACATTGGCACATTATTCACCCAATAAGTATCAGCCATTAGTCAAAAAGTGAGACGCATTACTTTCAAAACTTTATTCTTTCTTGCAGGAGGAAGGATTGAGGGAGGGGGGGACATTTGTCAATCACTGCGAGACAGTCTTTGCTGTATTGATATATAACATTGACAGCTGCAGTGTTTCATTTGCAGCAGGTTTTCAATTCTGTTAAGTTCAGTATAATTATGCATGTTGGTTTACTTGGCATGTGTGTTCCATAGAATTGATTTTGGCTCAGCTTGTTAGAGCTTTGTTTATGCAACAGGATGGTAAAGCCAGTATTCACAGGTATAAAAAAACATACTGTGCATACAACAGAGATGCTATTTTGAAGAATAATACTGAGCATAACATGTGCAGTGAATTTCATACTAATCTCCTTCCTTCCCTGTCCCCCCAATTAAGACTCCAGGATAAGTGATGTGGTAAAATACAGTTGCTGGAAATGAATGAAACAAAGTGCCTGTGATCATTTACTGTCTGTAAGAAACTGAAAAATTTATGAGGAGCAAAATAAACAGGGAATCGTCCCATGGTCAGAATGTTTAAAGTAAGTGAAAGTTGCATCTGTGACCACCCCCCCCCCCCCAAAAAAAAAAAAAAAACACTGCAAAGTAGCAGTCACTGGCAGGCATTTTATGAGAAAAAAAGCAGAATTTTAAGTATAAGGAAAACTACTTTTATATTTAAATGAAAGGTTGCATTATGGTTGTGTGGTGTCAAGAGAAATGTGCCAATTGAAGGCTCTATAAATTGTAAAAGAAATTATAATTGAGGATTTCATTGCAAGCTGAGGTTGGCTGATGGAAATATATAAAAAAAATCTATTCAAGGCAAAAAAGAAGTATTGCACAAAGGCTTCATAATGTGTGCAAAGAACAAAATTTTAGTGCTTCAAAATACTGTTGATGAGATCTTCTCAGATGGCAGTAATAGCAGCAGTTAAGCTTACCAGTAATTGTAAGTACAGAATTATATTTTTTCATTACTTCATGCTATTTTGGTTTTATCAGCCATCACATGCTTGTGTAGATTTCTAGAGTGTGAAATTAATATAATTAATCACAATTTAGTTATTAGCATTAATTTAAAGTAATAATGTTTGTCTTAAATGCATTATAAAAATTTGGGATGTGTGTGCATCTCTTTGGGGGCACATCTTATTTGGGTAAGTATGGTAATATGATTACAAGCCACCTATATGCAAGTGACTAAGTTAACACTGACACAGTGTTTTATCAGTTGAAGTAATAACATTGAAATTAATAATATAGTTTGTGTTGTTACCATGTTAATGGTATTTTCTGTTTTAAATACAAATGACAGGAAAGAAGGCATAACGTATTTTACAGAGCTGTCATAAGATTAAGTTTTAGAATCCTTTGTTTAATTCTGCTCATGTTCTTCCAACCACAGAAGAAAATACCTTGTTAGGGATTTGAAAAGTACAATATTCACATGACCTTGTGAAATTAAAAACAAAGACAAATGGTTCAAAAGTTCCCAAGGACACACTGACAGCATACATTAACATGTTAGTGTGTTTATCATTTTTTAAACAACTCTAGCAATGACCTGTTTGGTTGGTTCTTTATCATTACCTAATTTATGCAAGAAACATATTTCACAGTTCAGAAAGGGTCTGTGTTGTTTTGTGTGCTTATAACCTGAACAACTGTTGCAGTGTAAAGGAAAATCAGATCATTACTTTGTGCTTGGGATAAGCGAAAAATGCCAGAATGTTCGCTGTGTTCTTTGTAAAGGCTCATATTATCCGCCTACTACTCCTCGACCAGCTGTTGCAGAGATTTCACTGAAGGTAAAGGGTTTAATTTTCATCAAAAGTCACATTTTAAAGGATATTTAAGATGAAAAAATTACTTTGAATGGTGTAATAAATGTAAAATTCTGTAGTATTATGTATTTTCATCGAATAACATTTTTGTATTGATTTGTCTTAAGATATTTTTAGGGTTTGATTATAAATATAGATTTGATTTTGCAGGAAAGTATCATCACATGCTGTGTACAGTGGGTACATGTTCAGTTCTGATTATAACACTACTTATTTTTAAAGTAACAAAATTGTTTTAAAATTCATGTTAGATTCTGTAATAATCTATGATATTTTAAGGAAACACATTTTATTCATGGTTATTATTATAACAAGTTAAATTTACAAAAAGGGGGCACTTCAGAAATGGAATATTTGAAGGTCAAAGTAATCCTGACTGCATTATACAGAACAAAAGCCCACTATCAGACACTATCCATAACCAGTACAATCCATTCCCCACCCTAACACCATATTTTCTAAGATTAGTTTTAAGTCCTTAATTCTATACCTTGGTGTCCTATATACAGTCCAGACAGGAGAAAATCCCTGCTAAGAATTTTATACACGTGCATGCGCAAGATTTCGCGGTGAGTGACGACCGATCCTAAAAGCGTTCATTCTACAACCACTGAACGAACAACAGACGACAGGCTTTCATGTGTTCTAATGGGTACAGCTTTAAGATTACCTTACAGCGGCACAGTGATTTAATCTAGAATATTATGGCAACACCTGCAGAACACATTAGAGGTACACTCACTACACGCTACTCTTAACGGTTTGATGTTTTCAGTCTGTGTGTAGTAGCGTAAAACTCTGACGTATCACACTTCCCACCAATAGCAGCCCTCTAGTCCAGCTGATAAGTAACATTCCACCCGCACCGCACCAGAAACAACTTCCCCCAGCAGGGTTTTTCTCATGATCTGTGGACAGACGCTTCATTAGTTGAGGGTTCCCAACCAAAATTATTTATATATATTTCCCTTATAGATCATGACTACCCAACTTACCCTTCATGATTTAAATATTGTAACAATATTTTAAAGAGTAACTTATGAGGTTTTTCATTGTGTAATTTCCTCTAACCTTTTCCTTTCTATATTCTAGGTACACAGTTTGCAGGTTTAGATTGCTGCCTGCATTGCAGGGGTAACTGCAATCATCCATATTATTGTTCTAAAATTGTATACAATATCTGTACAACATATTTTCATTAGTATTATATTCTTGCCCCACTTTACACAATTATAGAGTTTTTAGTAAGCTGGAGGATATGTAAGAATATTTTTAGCCAGCATGGTGATGTCTTTGGAATCTGTTTTGTCGTCAATTTTCTCATCAAGTTTTGCAACATTTTGTGGTAAATAAACATTAGTGTAATGTGCATGCCATAGTTACCGATGTGTGAGGCAACAACAGAGAAGAGTGTTATGGAGGAGAGATTCTGGCGATTACAACTTGCATGTTCAACAACTGGTGACATGTGCAAGATGGGACTTGATTCATTCAATGATAAGGATGCCCTGGACAGAAGTATAAAGGAGACAGTTATAAAGTTATTTGCGGTAAGTTTTGTTACTATGATGTGGGTACATATAACACTTCTGTCAGTTTATCCAAAGACTCAGAAGTGATCATTTATAATTGCTGTTCTAAATAACTGTCACTAGATTACCTTTTAAAGACTGGGTATTTTAGCAGTCTTTGTTTAATTTAATATAATGTATAAGATCAGCTATTAACTGATATTATTTTTTGATTAAGCAGTTATGTTGATATTATTCCTCATGTTTGGAATGGGAATAATGCATTATGAACACTGTGTATGCTTGTTTGGTTAGTACCTGAACACTTTAATAGACTTTAATGAAACTTGGGAGATTCTTGGTAAAACAGAACAAAACAAAACATATCATGGGCCACATGAACTACCAATGATTGTCTCTACTTGAGAGCCTAAATTCACTGGTGTAAAATGGATATTTGAGCTTGGATGTAGTGTGTACCAAAGTATGCAAGATATTGAGGACAAGGGTCACCACATATTTCATTTATACTATGAGTCTGCATGTGCACATACACTGTGCTTCACTGCCCACAGTTGTCTTCATATCAGTACTCTATTTAAAGATGCTGTCAGTATGTAAGACTTGAGGTTCTCACAGCGGTGAATATGAAGATTTCTGTCTTCTGGGTTATTGCGCTGTGTAGTCTGGTCGATGTTAACCAACGTTTCAGAGGTCATACTGCCTCCGTCATCAGGGCGATGAATAT